ATTTTAACTCCAGTAGTGTTAATTAAGAGAAGGTCCCATATTTTTTGTGATATATGTTATAATGTTTCCTCATCAAAAATATACCTGGAGTTGTGTTTTGTTTCATTCACATTTTTAACACACAAAGACTTCATATTTAGACTGAGTTCTTCTCTCAAACAGAAAACACTCTGTTCCACCTTCTGATGTCATGCGGTAATACAGGAAGTGCTCCATTCTGTTTGTTTGTTTGTTTGTTTTTTTCAATTTCCAATCGCTTCTGAACAAAAGGTAAAAGGTAGCTGTTAACTTGAAAACTGCCACTACATGACATCATGGCACAGAGCATTTTGAGCTTTGGAGATGTAGACAGACTAATAATAAAGAATTACTCAGACATGTGTGAATGAAACATAACACAACCCCATGTATATTTTTGATGAGGTAACAGCATTATGACATGGCTAAAAGCTCACAAGAGTCAGTTTTACGTAATATGAGCCCTTTAAATAAGAACCTCAATTTTCAGCTTCAACCACAGGAGACTTAGGCAAATGAGTAAGTTGTAATTAATAGCTTATTGATGAGATAAAAAGGCAATTAGACCGTGGTAAACAAGAGGTAAGCACTGGAGTAAGGTGAGAAATAGCTTGAACTGCCTGTACTCTATAATTCAGATTTCAGTCTCCCACTAATACATGTTGGTAGTTTATGTTTTGAACATCTGCATTGCTTATATTTTAGTTTAGTTTTATTGTACTACTATTATTTCTTAGACACTTGTAGTTCACCATATTACATGATTTTTTTGTACTACACAGTGATACCAAAATACTAATCAATACAAAAGAAATACTAGAAACAAGATCCTCATTTGATAGTATTTGAAGTATAGATGCTGAATCCAAGTTTCAGAATAGTTTTGATCAGAACTAGAATAAAGAAATTCCTATTATCCATGGATGGATATTATTTGGTGGATATATTTATACAATATGTAATGTTGTGTTAGTATTATTGCTGTATCTGTATTGAGTATAGAATCAAAACCTAGAAACTAGAAACCAAAATCTAATTGAAATTTTTGTATTTGTGACAACATTAGTAACAATACTGCATACAGTGATGGGAAGAATACTTATGTATTTAGGTGCAGAATACTGAATACTACTGCATTAAATTGTATTTTGTAACGTACTCTGATACATGGGCCAATCAGAGTATCGTGTTTTGAATACTTAGAAATTACTTTTATATCAAGTTGCTCATAAATTATAGTGTAAAGATGCAACATAGTATTAAAAACAGCTTTCTGTTTGTTTCACTGTTTGATAAGGATTTTCTATCAGATTAGAGAATGAAAAATCACACATGCAGACGCTATAAGAGCAATGTTTTTGATTTTTCTCTTTAACATTGTGCAGTTTGAAGCCTAAATTGTGTGATGAGGTACCCCCATGTATTTCATTGATTTTAGAAAGTTAATTATACTCTGTTACTCAAAATTAGTAGTCTTTATACGTTTTCTCAGTACATGTATACAATTACTTCACAACACTGGCTGTATAAGCTATATTTTTGGTGTAATTTGCCATGCCTGTGTGTATTTAGTGGTGTATATGTTGTTTATTTATGAGAAAAAGAGACGTACGCATGAACAAAGACGTATCACACAAACTGAATAATTAATGAGGAGCCTGGATTGATAGTCATCTTTGTCATGTGATACATACATTGTGATAGACCTTGAGGAATTGAATCTTTATTTAGATTTTGTCCTTTGTGTTTTATGATATTACATTATAAGCGTGCTGCAAGCTATAGATAGAAAGAATAGAAAGAAGCAGTGAAAGAATCAGTTGATTTCTTCTTTTTTTTTTTCCACAACGGACACAGTACTCGAGTTGAAATGCCTCAAAACCACATTGTGTTAAGTGCAAAATATATAACTTGAAGAGAACATGTAAAAAGTTGTACCATTATTATGACTACAATCACTACCTATATTAAAATTAACAGAAGTACTCAACAGCTTTATACTTGACAGTACTTTTACTTCACTATTGCAGTGTTATCTATGCTTTTTTTTAAATTATACTTTCAAAAGATTGTTTCTTTTAGTAGTTCTTGATGTTTTTGTTTATGTTTTGTTATGGGTTTATTTTAAAGATTCACTGCGTAACTTTTCTAGTGGAGGGCTTGCCACCTGCTTGTCTCCATGGAGATGTTATTGTTTTGTCTGGAATGTCCCAGTTTGGCATTAAACATATCAATCCTGCATTTACTTAATAACATGCGTTTTTAAGAACCTAAAAACTTGAATTCTTACTGTGAGTGGGCTCGCCTCTTCACAGATCTGACATGTAATTTGGCCCTGCTGTCTCCATAGAGATAAATGTAAGATAAGTGTAATGCCATATTGTGGAATATTCCAGGCAATATCTACACGAAGTGAAGAAGGTGATGTACCCCCCCAATAGAAGAGTTAACACAGTGCTCCTTTAAATGAGAACAATATTACACAAAATATAACTTATACAAAATACAGACTTGATTTGCTCATTTTTTAGCTTTTTTTTTTTTTTTTGCATGATGTCCTAAAGCAACCCTTTTTATGTCCAGACTTCTTACTGATTTATGAATGAACTGTCTTTCTCTTTTTAATTCAGATTTCTTTAATACAGTTGCATGTGGTTGATCAGACATTATCTCACTCAGACCATGCATTTTTAAACAGTACAAGACAAGGCAGATTTCAAAGAGTGAGAGCTGGTCTTGTCATTTTGGACATATCAAAGCCGAACTCCGTGACCTCTTTTATGCGTTACTCCACTCTCCACCTTTGATTAAGGCTGCTCGCTGAATTAAGTGGCTCATTAGTGAAGGTTATTAAGACTTGGGGCGCTGGAGTTACATGTAATGTGATTTTTGACGCACACATCCATCTATGGTAGATTTAAGAGCATCACGTTTAAATAGACATGTCACCATAAAAATGAATGGATCTTATGTTCAGTGCAAGAGAGTATAGTCACCTCTGGCATCCAAGGTGAGCTCTGTTTCACAATAGTCAGCATATGTTTCATATAATGGAGCTTTGAGTGTGTGATCAGTGTTGGGAAGTAACTGAATACATGTACTGAAAATAAATAATCTGAATACTCACTTTGAACTGCACAGTAATAGTAATAAACACAGAAAATTCAGCTCTTCCATTGTGTGTGCATGTGCCATTTTTTGTCTCATCTTGCATACTAACTAATAATGTTATTTCTAATATTATGTGCCATTTTTTTACACTATAGTATAATGCAACTCAGTGTAAAATATTCAAAGTTTTCAGAATACTCTCATTGTATCCGAATATGTTACAAGATACATTCTAACTTTGATTTTCAGTATTCTGTAACTAAACACATTTTCAAAGTATTCTTCCCATGTAATTATGAGTCTGTTTGTTTTCTAAAACTGACAAAATGTTGTGAGTGATTTTGCATAAATGTCTCAATAGTTTAGCTGTCTCGAGCATGTTTTGCCTGAGAAACAAGCTGCTAATGTAAACACAGACAGAAGCCACATGGCCAAATACAGGCAGCAGGAAGTTGGTTTACAAAAAAACAGCTTGTAGTTGTACTGAATAGGGGTCAGGTCTGAAAAACAAATAATGAAAGCTTAAATTTAGGTGCAATGTTGCTTTAAATAAAACAAGCCAGGTACTAGCACAACCCAAAAAGCCAATTAAACATGGTTATTCTAAGTAGCCTAATTATTTTTATCTAAAAAAAAAAAAAAAGTTGTTGCATTATATTTATATGTTGACCTGTTATGCCCCACAACTACTAACTCACTATGACCATACAATTTCTGCAACAACAAATCATTTTAATATTCTATAGCATAAATTTCTACAGCCATCAAATGACATGCTTTTGTACATTCTGCAAATCTGAGTCATGGAGATCCTATTTTTGGTTTGTGAACTTAAAAACTTGAGAAGTCCAAACACTATATATTGTATTATATATTTGGTTTATATCTTGATTTTATTTTTATTTATTTATTTGGTTTATATTGTTGTATTATTTAATCATTAATGTAGTATAATGTAGTATAATCTTTTTTTTTTTTTTTTTTTTTTTTTACATTTATTTTTTGTAGCCTATATATGCATTTATTTATTTATTTTTCTCTGTTTTTCTACGAATTAAAGTAGCACCATTATATAAACGTGTTACATCTGCCCTGATGTCACACGCATACGCCGCTGTGTGTGTGTCTGCGTGTTAGTAATAGTGTGTAGTAGTAGTAGTAGTAGTAGTAGTAGAGTGGTAGTATCCTGCTGGTAGAGTAGTGGGGTAGTAGGGCAGTAGTTCCACTCTCCTTCCTGCGGGACCCAGAATCCACTGCGCCGAGCCAACATGGAAGAGCCCAGCTGCTGCGGGAGAACAATGTTTTGGCTCTAGACCCCTGAACGCACCGCTAAAGGTGGGACTGCGACGGCCAGAACAGCGGCTCGTTGTCATGCACCGGTAAGTGTCCACTAAAATATTGGATTTAGGCGCAGATTGTGTCGGAGTAGAGCTTTACAGTCCATGTATGAGACGCACGACAAAGCCCGCACCGCTTCAACGCTGCATACGGGACGCACAAAAGTCCAGGCATTTCGATCGGGGGGGGCGTGGTTTCCCAACATGCGTGTTGATTTTGACAATTAAACACCCGTTTTTTATTATCATCTTGTAAATACTGGTGTAAGGAATAGACTCGGAATCAAGGTTAGGTTAAGGAAAGGCGTGATGATTCATTTTAGGATCACTAGAGAGTTTGGATTACCTTATTCCATGTTATTTGCACTCAAGTAGTGGGAACATCGGGTTTGTTACGTTTGTTTCTTGTATACTATGCTAATAACACAAAAATTGTTAGCGCTACCTTTTGATGCATTATGCAACAGTAAATAAGCTCGTTTAGTTGCCGTTTTATAGTGGTTTTGTCGAGGTAGTTGTAAAATTAGCCAGTGAAGTAGGGCTCGAGACTCCGCCTCTGAGCGAAATGCCCGGAGTTTAGTAGCGCTAGTTAGCATGCTGTGCTAACACTCTGCTAACACTCGGAGCATCATTGTTCGCCAGAGTTGTATGGGCCGTTTGTTATGGGTCATGCCTAGTGTTGTCGCTCCATCACTTACAGTCGCTTCAATGTCAGAAATCCAAGCCAGAAACTTGAGGTAAACCCACACAGTTATCTTAATACTACTTTACGCTCTCCTGCTTTTCTTGCACGTCAATCTGCTCTCCAATTTTGCGCTTTTTCCAGGTCGCAGATTTTGTTTAGGTTGGGGAGCGAAAGGCTGCTTGTGCATATGCATCAGCCGCTAAACCACCTTTCTTTAATTCATTCGCCACAACTACAAAGCAAAGCGATTTTCTTACTCGTTAAAGCACTTTTTAAGCGTATTCGTGGTTAGTTTTTAGCTTTAGATTGCACGCGTTAGCTTGGCGAGCCTTGATCGTCGTCTCTTATTGCATAGCCATATTAATTATTGGCTGATCCTACATCACAAAGAAGACGACGGGCCCCGTATGAGTGGTTAGCCGTGTGCTAGATAGTGCTGGTTATTGTCGCTAAAATGCTTAATCGTTATAAACCCTACACATATCTGTTACTACTTTGCGTATTTTCAAGGTAGTAGCGATGCACGTAGCTCTAGTGTAGCCGTGTTCACGTTTTGGAAAAGTTGGCTTTGTGTGCGCGGCGTATGGTAATTCAGCTAGCGTACCATCAAAGCTCACGGCATCTGGCAGCAGTCTGTTAGCATTGATTAGCCTCTTGAATCGTTACTACACTACTAATCAACTAATATATACCTTTTACTTTTAATAAACCGCGATGCAAGATGAAAATGCGCGTGTGTTTACAAATTCCCGTGCGTAAAACCAACCTTGGGGTTAGAGGCTCTAATTACGCAGCGCCAGACGAAATATATTATGCCTTTACTCTGGATAAAAATCAGTTTAGCTTGAGTCTGACCCATACTGTAGACACAATTACAACAGTCTAGCTAATGCAGACTATGGGTACTCTCATTGGCAGATAAGCACATGTAAATAGGATGACTGGGGTAGACATAAAGCCATCAAACAGATTAACGCACGACTGAAATCCTCTCGTTCCTCGTCCCATGTTGTGTCTAGGATTGTGGTAACATTGACCCTTTTTGCCCTGTAAATCGCAGAGCCTTTAGCAGCGGTAATTTGAGTTTTCTGCACACTGTTTTTGCTTGTTTCACATTTTCCCTAAAGCAAATACTGCAGCATTTTGTTGACCTACAAAATACTTGGATTAATCCGCTCATGAGACAATTTACAATCAGATGGAATGGTACAAATTTCTCATAACTGAGTTCAACTGACCTCGAAATATAATAGATGCCAGTTAATCTGTTTTGCAATACTATTGTAAAGTCAACATATCTGGTTTTAGAATAGTTTTAGTCTTTACCAAGTAGCACAGCGTGTAAAAGGTCAGATATTGTTTTTAGAGTTGTCAAAAAATCAATACCCAGACTTATAGATTGATAATAGAACTAGTATCAACACTGTAAAGATATTGAAGTAAATCACACACAACATAACTGGACTTTTTTATATGGTGCTAATGCATTTGTGTTGACACTTTGGTCATAAAGTCTTATTTGAAATACTTGTATTATAGCACAGAATAATTGGCAATTGAATATCTGTAAAACACAATATATTATATTAATGCTACTAAGTTCTAAAGGGGTAATTTGTAGGGTGACCTGGCTTTCACATTTTAATTCTGATTTTGATTCTGATTGTGAGTCCGTATAATCTGAGAGATTTTGCAGCTGAATGTGTTTTTCTGTTCTGATTCAGTATTTTGGCTAAACTATTGACAATATACTGCTGTCTCTGCTGTTGGCCGGTACCAAATTGGTCAAAAATGTGGACATCTGGGACATCTTGAAACAGGGACAGATCAACATTTTGGTTGCATTTACTAGGACATTGGACACAGGGCCAAAAACTGAGACTGTCATGGGTAAATATGGACATCTGGTCACAGTAAATGACCATTTAAAGTTTAGCATGCCATTACATAACATACAGCAGCATTTGTAGTATGTGGTATGGGCACAGTTGTATAGCACTAATCTAATGTTTTTAAACTTAGACAGGGGAATTTATTTGGACACGGTCATTAGTATACATCACAATAAATATAATAACAAAGAATGAATATAACAATAATATAATTTGTCTCTGTTTGCCAGAATGACACTACCTTTTGGCCCATAGTTTTCCTGCCCATCCTTCACCATGAGCCTCATTCAAGACAAACTGGGAAACGAGTTCCTGCGCTCCAACGGCGGCATGGACGCCAACTTTGGCCCCGGGATGATCATGTTCAGTCACCTACCTCCAGTCACCAGCTTCACCCGCCTCGCCGCTCAAACCGTCATGCAAGACCTACCACCAGCAGAGATGATCCTAAAGAAAGAGCGTGACTCTCCAGACTGCAGCATGGGTCTACAGGTACCAGTGTAGACTGAATGGATTGGACATTGAATTGATCTGCTTATTGTTTATTTATTAGAAAGGGACAGGTACAACAAACCTAGATTAACATGTAGAAATCTGAGGCAGTTATTAGTGTTTATTGATATCACAAACATAAGAAGACAAACTTTTATAATCATTTGTTAATCAGTGTTTCAGTCACTCAACAAAAGGGAAAACAACAAACAAAAATAATTACTAAACCAAATTGTTGAATGCAGTGTGAGGTAGTGAAGCTGACTTGCATAATATATAGGTAATATATATGGTACTTTTACATGGATGAAAATGAAAGCAAACTGAACAGAAAAAGTATTTTCTTTTTCATGATACCATAATAGTGAGTGTTTATTTTCTTTTTGTAATTCAATCACAAAAATTGTACATTGTTGTATGTTTTCTCACAGACCAGCACCATGAACTGTTCAGGGGTGGGTGACTACGTTCACTCGATGGGGATCAAACAGGAGAAGATGTCAGAACATGATTACCGTTTGCCCCTTTACCCCGGAGCCCTGGGCAAGAGCGCCGACCTGCTGGAGGTGACTGTGGGCAGCAGCCAGGGCCTCATGGTGCACGACCTCAACATGGGCAGCGTGAGTACAACTGGGTTTAATCACTATGACTAGGCCAGTCACAATAATTACTATATTGACTTATTGTACAGTACATGAAAGCTAGAAATAACTCATAATAATTTTGAGGGGTCAATATTCATCACAGGTGCTTTTTCAGTGTTGGCACATTTTTGTTATTTTTCTGTATCATGGTGAGATTTGAACTAAAGAAGGTTGAATAAGTGGCCTCTTTGAAACATTATAGATACAAAAATTTCTGGTGTAATGAATTTGTTTCATTATTGTCGTTTATCATTTATATTTTCTTCAACATATTGAACTTTATAATTTGTTATCATGACAGACTCAACTATCATAAAAATGTCAGTTAACATTTACAGTTTGGTCGCAGTCAGCAAATCTACAACAGGCAGTTTATATATGTACAATACAATATATATTCTCTGCAAACCTTGCCTTCATTCTCATTATGAATAAAATCTGCTTAGTCTGCAGTTTAGAACCTATTCATGCTCATGCTGTAATGTGTATGATTCTTGTATCAATAATTTAGCAACATCTTACAGAAAGATCTAAAAATATTTGTAACTTATTGTTAATATTTGGAGTAAATTTCACTAAGTGCAGAAATATATATACCTTTTTTGAAAGACGCACTGTACACTCATCGTCAGATCAGATTGCAACTCTTTGGTGGTGTACTTATTATAGACATTTCCATATGATATTTTAGACCAGTGGTTCTCAAAGCGTGGAAGTGCTTCTGGTGTCACACAAGGTCTTCAGCAGCTGGTTTAGAACAAGTGTAAGAATGGTGTTGTCCAATTGAAGAGTTCATTTGCAAATAGATAATAAAAAAATAATAAGTCATTGGAGGCTTGCAGTTTACTCTTAGTATAGCAATGTTTTCAAAAACCAAATGTATTTTACTGTTATATTACTGTTATCAAAATATTCTTCCATCCCTCCTTGATAAAAATCCACTAGATATTATATTCATTGGTAATATACAAAGAAAATGGTTACAAAAAAATACTGGGGAATATTTCAAAATGAAGATCTGTTTTAGCAAACTCTTAAATTGTAAATCTGATTTGGCTCTATTTTAAACATGGCATAGACCTAGTCTAGACCTAATTAAAGTCTGGAGAGCCTGTTTTTTTCTTGGGTGGTCCTTTGTGTGAAACGTATTCGCTGTTTAACACAATATTTTACCCTCAGCTACTTATTGTTACCAATTAATGTTTAATAAGTATTATTATTATTTTATTTGCTGTAACATTATCTCTGTTTTACCCACACATCTTTATTAGAGAACAAAGGGGAGAAAACTGAACTATGGGGGGCAACTCGAGCCTTTTCAATTATCGGGAAACACCTACAGACACTTACAGCGACCATTTGCATAAGACAAGGGTTTATTGGGCTCACACTGGGAAATTAACTTATTCCAGCTCTTAACACAAAAGTGAAAGTGAACAAAACAAAAGCAAAACAATGGCCATGGTTTACAGCCAAACACACCATGGTTAAACAGCATGAGTTATTTTTGTATTAAGTCAGATATTAGGGGAAATGTAGCCTGTTATTCTTCTACTACTGACCTCTTCAACAATTCAAGCTAATTGTTACTTTTAAAAATATTTTAAAATGATATTAATGTTGTTTTTATTTTATTTATGCCTTGTAAATGTCCTTGGGTGTTAGAAAGGCGCTTATAAATAAAATGTTTTTCTATTTTATTATTTCAAACACTAGTGTCATAGTTTACCCTACCTGCTTTTAATTACTATCCAAGTTTATAAATTGCTATTATTGCGTGATAATAACATAACTTGAGATAAAAGCGATTCAAAATTAAACAGATTCCTGTCAATTAAAGCGTTAACCAATTCTATACTCTATTCTACTCTCAACAGTCCTTTATTGATTTCTAGTCTTGGCTCCTTTTGGCCCAGATGGCAGCACTTATTTTGAGTGGCATAGTTCTATTTACATATTTTAGCATGAAATGTGATTGACTGTTAAACTATCCTTTTTGCAGCATTCAAAACAACATTGACAGTATTATGGATAATTTGATATAGTACCTACTTCTAATTTCATTAATCACTGCAAGATCTGTAGACTTTTTAATAAATCCAAATTGGGCGTCATAATTTATCACAAATCAAAATTGCAATTGAGTTCCACAATTTTCAAATTGCTAGGCTATAATTGTTTAGATAATAGATGATCTATAGCAAATAACAAAATATCTTGTTTTTATAGAAACATTTAGGGATGGGACAAGATCTTGTATCAAAAGATTATACAAGACAAAATTGTCACAAGATTGTCCACACAGACTAACACTGATCTTCATGGTGAGATTTTCCCACCATGTTTTTACATTTGGATTGGACAAAAAAGGGTTGGTAAGTTACATTTCTTGAGAAGCTGTAGCAGCAGAAGTATTGGGTAGAACATAAATGAAGAGGCCAAGACTGAATCACAACATTTATTATTTATGTTAAAATTTCATCTTTTTTCGTTCTCGTGGACCCAGTCTTGTGTCTCCTCTCATCTTGTGAAAATTGTCTCGTCCCATCTCTAGAAAAATCCCATAGTTAAGACCCAGACAAACAGAATGCTCATATTTTAGACCTCTTTCAAATGTTAATGCTTAATGGAGTTTTTACAATGTGCACTCTTAACAGAATCCTACTTTTAAAACAAATTATCTAAACACAATCGCAATACTTAAAAAATAAATCACAATACTAAAATAAAATCTGTTTAATTTTTTTTCCCAAAATCTTGCAGCCATGTCTTCAGATTTTCAGCCTGATAAACTCCTCATTCATGCCAGCAGTCTTATGTAAATGCCTTTAGCATTGAATTAAACATGAGCTCTAAACCCTGGCCCACATCGGTCTTTCCCAAACACTCCTTGTCCTGCCGTAGCCTTAAGAGGGTGGGGCTTAGTCTGGATGTCTGCAGGGGGCGGAGCCTGTGCAGCCCGTGACATAAATCTGCTGGATGCAAAATAATAAATGAGCCCCCTCTCCTCTCCCTCCCTTCTCTCCTCTTACCCCCCGCGTTCCCCTCTGTCGCGCTGGAGGGTGATGTCATCAACGAGGACCTGAAAGAGAACGCCTTGCCAAGGACACAGCTGTCTTGTTTAGGTCCGCACTTCATTTCAGACAGCTTTTGTTGTGACTCAAATACTAATACACACAGCCACACAGGTCCCACAAAGGGAGGAATCAAAGGTCATCCGCCTGAAGATGCTCGGATATTCACACAGCACAATGAGTTATAGCCGTCTAGAGCCCCGCACGCTGAAAAACTGTCTGTTCATTAACAATTTTAACATTTTCAACACAAGAGCCGGGCACAAAAACAAGTCAAAAGCACCTTGATTTACTGACAAATACAAGTGTTATAAACTAGTCTGGGCGTTTAAAAAGTGGAAGATTTGGTGTCATTAAATTAACAAATGGATAAATAACATAAAAAGTAGACTAAAATATTGAAACGAACCTGTCCCGTATGGTGGGAACAAATATTACATATGCGTAATGTAATATAAAATCAATACTGCAATCAATATGCAGCACTTTGGAAATGTCTTTTATAAATATATTAGATAAAATCAATTTTATCATTTTTGAAAAAAGAGAAATTGAGGCACTCTGTTAGAAAATATTTAAAAGCTCCCTGAATTAACTGTGCACCCTTGGTTATATGGATAATAGCAGCTCGCTCTGTCTGCTGTTTTTGAGATAAAACTGAGTATCTGGTTATAAACTATTTCTAGTCAAATACTAAATATTTAATTGGGTCAGAGAAAAAAAAAACACACACTAAATTGGAGTTATGTGAGCTGAACTGTAAAACTGTAACATACCATGGCATGTGTACTGAGGGATGGGACAGATATTGTATTGCACTTAAATTATAACCGTCTGTTCAAGAAAGACATTACTAAATTGAACAACCTGTCACGATATTACATACAATTCCATAATTAACTCATCGTTCAATATATGAAAGATGGAACAACATATTTCACTGCTCAGTATTTTTCTTGTTTGATTGCTTTTTTTTTTTTTTTTTTTTTTTTTTGCTGCCATTTTTATGTAATAGGTCCGAGCTGTCGATGGTTGAATGAATAACTTCTATGGCTAATTATTGGTTCATTCTTCCATTTATTTGTTGCAGCTCAGGACTTTTAATGATACAGCATAGTGTTAAAACTCATTGTACTGGCATTATCCTGCTTTGTCTCCATGGCATAAAGTAGTGTCAGTATAATCATTTATCTTAATGTTTCTCTGTAGCAATTTATCATGCTTCAAAAATTTGTTCTCGTGACAGCCCTAGATATTGGTTGACTGAACATTAGTTAAAAGTATCCCCTATATTCATCAGGGTACTTTCTTGTACCCTTTAATTTTAGTTTGGTACATTCATTTATAATGCATATCTTTTAAATGTAGTGAATACCTCTGTTGGGCTCTCTCATGACGACTCTGTTGATTTGGGCTGGTTTAGTGCAGAGCAGGTGCACTCCCATTGACCCTGTGAGTGTCCATATGGCACTGAAGGGTTTGGCCTGTTCTCTCAATGAGCTGCTGCAAAGACTGGATAAAAGCCCTGAGCCGCCGTATGCTCCACCTTTTACAACCCCGGCTCTGCTAAAACTGATAATGAACTCAAATATGGGGAAATTAAGTAGTATTTGGGAGTAGGGCTTATGCAGTTAACAACAAACGAAATAATTGTGAAAGCATGATAATTGTCGTATTATTATTATTTTTTTCTTTTTTTTTTTTTAATGCAAAAAATTATCATGATTTCAAAATGAATACAATGACTTCTAAATATTCTATATGTCAGAATTAACTTGACTTGAATGTATAGTATTTTAGTTTGAAAGAATATGTTTGAGGTTTGAGTGGCAAAACAAGTCAATTTGTTGTATTTTCGATTACAACATATTTGTAATTGTCTGATTAGCCATCTGTAATCAGCCTGATTACAGATGGTCTTTTTCATGGCCAAAACTGAATATATTTCAAGCAAGAAATTTAAATATAACAAAATATGTAACAATACTAGCAAGCTTGAATTATAAATATTTTGTATGTTTCCAGTAGTTTGGACTAGGCTATATTTATTTTGCTTGTTTTCTGGACTGATTTGTTTTTTTATATATCAAGTTTCAAGAAATATGTTTTGCCCCTGAGTCTGTTTTTGTTTTGTTTTACTTGCGTTTTACTGTTGTTCAGTTATTCATTGTCATCTTCTTTGTCTAAAGATAGACATTTTTCTTCAAAATGGTTGTATATGTGTGTGCATTTCCTTTTGCAGTGCAGAAATCGCAGTTTTTTTTCAGTTCTATAACCGACTTGGTGAAATATTACTTCTTTTAGTTTTAGTAATGCACCGTTATGGATTTTTTTTTAGTTTGCTTGACATTTAGGACTGGAGACCCTTAACCTTCCATCAAGTAATTTCCATGTGATAGCTGGTCTCACGGTCCCGCCCTCTCCCTTTGTCATCCAAACAGCTGCCGAGTCAGTTAGGAAAAGAGCCCAGTGGGAAGAAAGGTCGGAGGTCAAATGGTGATGGACAGGAGGGTAAACCAAGAAAGAAGCGCAGTGAAAAGGTTGGTCATAAATCTTCATATTTCTCAGAGCATCCTTTCATAAAAATGTGAATCTTATCAAACAGATGCACAGTGGAGTCGTCTATTAAAGTCCTCATATTACAATATTTTCTGTTCTATGTTATAATGTTGTTTTCTCATCACAAAAGTACCTGGAGTTGTGTTTTTGTTTCATTCAGACATGTTTAACACACAAATCCTGCTTATTTAGGCTATGTTCTTCTCGCAAACAGAAAGCACAAATCCGGGTATGAGTTTGATGATGTAACAAGATTCCAACATGTCTAAAAGCTCGCAATAGTCAATTTTAACATGAAACTTGGGTGTTCACATTTGGATTTCACACTTTTTTGTTTTTCTGGTGTTTTTCACAGCAATCAATGATGCTGGATGCAGACGGAGGCAGTCTTTCACCAGGAACCAAGCCTCACATCTGTGAACACTGCAATGCTGCCTTCAGGAGCTCCTACCACCTACGCAGACATGTGCTGATTCACACAGGTACAGGAGAGACACAAGGGAAACTTACAACCTCTCAGCTGTTAGCAACTTTACTGACAACTATTGCTTTTATTTCAGTTAGGGTAACTCTTTGGAAAAATCTGTAAAAAAGCTCAAAGGGCTTTTATTATACCATGTGGTCAAATAAGACCACATGGTATAATAAACATATAGCATTTTTTGTGTTGAAAATTACAGCATTGTCTAAAAAAGGTGATCATTTGGCCATCAAAATTGGTGTAGAGTATCAAGTCTATTGCTAAATATCAAAATTGAGTTTAAAAAGTATTGTCAAGTATTGTAACACTAATTACCAGTGACTCTTTTAATGCTTTTAACTGCTTGTAAATTTGTTCTTTAAGGAGAGTAGCTTTTAATACCATGACACATTGTTCTCAGTGTTTCTCTTTTTGTCTCTTCATGTTTTCAGGTGAAAGACCGTTCAGGTGCAATCAGTGCAACATGAGTTTCATCCAGAAGTATCTGCTCCAGCGTCATGAGAAAATCCACAGTGGTGAGTTCTTTTTAGGATGATAATCCGTTACTCTAAATCTGACCTAGTCCCTGATGCAACTTTTGTTTGTCTTTAGGAGAAAAGCCATTCAGCTGTGACCAGTGCAACATGCGCTTCATTCAGAAGTACCACATGGAGCGCCACAAGAGGACACACAGCGGAGAGAAGCCGTACAGGTGTGAGACCTGCCAACAGGTGAGCCCTGCTCTGGGAATCATACATACATTATTCATTTATATGTCTGTATACATAGCCTGGTCTGTGAGTAACACATGTGTTTGTGGGGCAGTATTTCTCTAGGACTGACCGGCTGCTGAAGCACAAGCGCACCTGTGGAGAGGCGCTGAAGAAAGGGCTGGACCCCGGGATGATGGACATGGACTGTGTGGACATGGGACATGGCAGCTATGGGATCACTCAGGGAAACGCCAGCAGCACAGGGCGCAAACGAAGGTCTAAAAACAACCCCGAGGGAGGAGAGCGCAGGAAGAAGAAGGGGGACGCAGAGAGAGTCCCTCACCTGGAGGGGGCAGTGTCTGGAGGCTACAGTATTCACGAGTACGCTGTGGAGAATCAGACTGTGTCCTCCACCACAGAGCCAGGGCCCAGCATGCAGCACCATGGCCGTGCCCCTAAAATGGCCTTTAAGAAAGCCAACCGCAACAAGGCAGCTCAGGCCAAGCACGGGTCAATGGAGCAGACAGGAGCCATGGACAGCATGATGCAGGAGAATGGCCCCAAAGCCGGGCCCACAAGTAACTATGACGATGCCATGCAGTTCATCAAGAAGAAGCGCTATCTTCATGCAGCTAACAATGCTAACAGTGCTAACACCAGCACGCCCGTGGTGTCCACAGCCACCAGCAGTGAGTATGATGTGGGTCACCTGACCACTCAGGCCGGCATGTCCACTGTGATGGACTCTGACCCTCACTTGAGCCTGGACAGGACGGGCATCCCAGACGAGGTGCTGCAGAGTCTGCTGGAGCACTACAGCCAGAAGGGAGATGGAGCCCACCACGAAGTGTTTGACATGAGCGAGGCCCACGTGGAGCTGGCGGCAGCGTCCGTGGACAGCTCAGGGCTGGTCCACAGTGACGGCTCCAGTCCCTCTGTGGACAAGAACATCATGATGAACGAGTACTCGCGCTTCCTGCTGCAGGCATTGGAGCGCACCAGCCACAGTGCCAGTTTCCCGGTGGGTCCCTCCCCGCCCTCGTCGGGCCCATACACCAGCTCCCACCCGGGCACCCCTCTGTACTCAGACAAGAGCATCTACACCAGCTCTCCTCTGGACTGTGGCTTTGGTCAGTCTGTGGCATCTCCTTCTCTGCCGTCGGCGGTGCCAAAGTCTCACTTCACTCTGCTCTCCGGCTCATCTCCTCAGCACAGCTTCCACCTGAGCGGCCTGGAGCCCTCTCACCAGCAGCTCACCCCCTCCCAGGAGCTAACGGAGCAGCTGGACAAAGCCCACTCGTCCACGCCCCCCTCCTCTTACATGGGCCCGTCTGACCTGAGCGTGCCCAAGGAGCAGACTGTGAAGAGCTCTGCGGTCTACCCCCTGGTGCCCTCTCAGGAGCTCACACCTTTGGACTCGGCCAAGCCTTCGTACCAGATCGAGAACTTTGCTCAGGCCTTTGGCTCCCAGTTCAAGTCTGAGGGTCTGTCGTACGGCAGTGAGTCTGGCGAGGTGGACCACCGGACGCCTGTGTCTGAATTCTCAGGGTATACTTTGTTGTCTGATGTCAATGAGCCAGTAAGTACAGGTTCCAAAACTCCAACAAGCCAAAGTTTCAGATGAGCCTGAGGGAGAGACACTTCTGTGCTTCTATTTTATTAATATTGTTATTTTTTTAAGGGACTTTATTTTAATTATGATGATGCTCTGTTTTGTGCCCATGTCTCTCCCACAATAAGCCTGCGAGGCTCTGCAAATGCATTTTAAACTCTTATTTTAAGTTAATAATGTATTGACTGTTTACTGTTGTCACGTAGTGCTGTTGGCTCTGCTCATGAATCATGATTTCACACTCCTGTAGTTTAGGTGTAGAGTAGCACCACACGTTATTGTGCTGTTTGAGCAATCAACTTTACAATTGTAAAATAATAATGGAAGTAACCATGATGGCAGGGATAGCCCAGAACTGAACTAGCAAAAAGGTTTTGCCTGTTACAAGGTTTAAAGTATTACTCAGGAAAAGTGCAAAGGAGAAGCCTCAGGGTGCAGGGGCACCCTCCCAGACAAAGTCTAAAATTTGGGACTTGTTTTGTTACTTGTGGAATGAGTGTGACATAAACAGACTGCTGCCAGCTCACTTGAACACTGAAAACACTTTCTTCTTGGCTTTATAGAGATTATGGTACTTTCGTGTCAATGTGAAACTCATTTTCTTCAATAAGGGCCATATATATATCTATATATATTTATAAGAATATATATATAATGTAAAATAACAGATTTAATCACTCTGGGGATCTGCCAGTTGAAGAGGGGGCGAGGGCAGGCTATGGGGTAAATGTTGTCCTGGTTATATTTTTTGGAGAACACAGTGATGTTAGGGCTTTTCTTGGGCCAATAGGGGGCGCTGTTGGACAGCTCTAGAATGGCCTTCCCCTTCCTGCACTCCTTGTCTTCCTCAGCGGTCTTATTTCTTTAAAAGAATTCAGTAGCACTTTGAGCCGTTGTAAAACATTGAGTAAAAGGGCCTCATTGGGATCATGACAGCAGGTCACATGACTGACTCACAGTGGCTGTTTGGGCTTATGCAGAAGGGACTGGGAGCTGGGTGGGATGGTTCTATTATTAAAATGGGATGTTTTTTTTTCTAAAATAATAAATTCTCTTTCTCCTTAATGTGGGAGGGGCTGAGGGAGGGCGGGTCCACATTTAATCGGGTTATTGTAAATGTATGAAACCCCCTAGCTTTAGTTTTTGATTGTTCCCCAATTTAGCGTTTTGCTTTTTCCTATTGAAATACGTGTTAGTGATTGAATATTGCCTGAGCTGTTACAGATGGAGCCTTGTGCTTGAACATGGCTGTCCTTTGGACTGTCTGCATTGAATTGTCTGATCAGGCCCTTCATGTGTGCTGGCAGTAACAGAACATTTGTCCCCCTTTTCGCAATTTGGGTGCCTCATCCTGTAAAGTGCAGGTGCAAATATTGTCTTGTAAGCATTAGGTGTACTTTGTTGATTTTATACTTGTATTTATGCTGTACTTTTTGTAAAGGCAACAATAAGTGCGCTGTCTTCCGTAGGTACACAACGCCAATAGTGCTGAATGCCCAGTGACCTCTTGTTTTAAAGCAATCATGAAAATGGCGGAGTGAATGCTATGCTGAAATATCTGAAATAATAAGATGCCATACAGTGAAGGGGCGGTCCGAGCCTCACATATACCTCATAACGCATCGAGCCCGCGCTGGGTCGATGTTTGTAGCAGAAATGCTGTTGTATTTAATGCTGTCATCTTTCTGTGTAACTGTTTTTGACTCATTTCTTCATGTGGCATTGCCCTGACCCATTTTCTTGCTTAAGGGTTGTTTTTTTTCCAAATGTCACATACCAGCCAGTGTTCATGGATTATTTAACACATTTTGTTTCTCGATGCTTGTTTACAAAAATGTACAAAACACTACGTATGTCTTTACCTAATTCTTTGCCCTTGTGTAAATTTCTTTAGTTACTTTCCCTTTTTGAATCACCGCCAAATTTTGTAGTCAAAATATCCTTCATTTTTATGTTTTCTTGTGGATATCTGCACAAGACTGTACTGTCCAATGAATTGCAAATGAATTCGGGAGAAAACAATAAAATGCTCTCATTTGTAGAGAAGAGTCGTGTCTTTTGTATGTGGTAAACCATTGTACATACATCATGCAGGTTTTCATATGGTTTTGCAGTGTAATCTATTGATCCAGCTTTTTCTGTTCCGATACCAATGCTGATACTTTGGCTTTAAAGCTGCACTGCAACTTTTCTGGTGGAGGATCTGCTACCTGCTTGTGTCCATGAAGATGTTTGCCTGGAATGTTCCATGGTATGACAATAAACATCCATCTAGAATTTATGCACTACGGTTGTTTCGGTTGCTCAAAAATAAAATAATTCCTTCTGTGAGTAGGGGCGACTCTCCACAGATCTGAACTGTAATATAGTGTAGAGCTGTAACCTGCTTGTCTCTCATCCATTCATCCTTCCATCGTCTTCCACTTATCCGGGGCCAGGTTGCAGGGGCAGCAATTTAAGCAGGGACTCCCAGACTTCCTTCACCCCAGACACTTCCTACAGCTCCTCTGGGGGGACCCCAAGGCGTTCCCAAGCCAGCCGAAAGACATAGTCCCTCCAACGTGCCCTGGGTCTTCCCAGGAGCCTCCTCCTGGTGGGACATGCCCAGAACACCTCCCGAGGGAGGCGCCCAGGAGGCATCCGGAACAGATGCTCGAGCCACCTCAACTGGCTCCTCTCGACATGGAGGAGCAGTGGCTCTACTCCGAGCTCCTCCTATCAACCGATACCAGTGTCAGAATCTCATACCAGAGACTAAAGTAAGCTATAATTTATTTCCTTTACACACACACTATATGGTAAAAAATAAATATATATATATATATAATACAAATGTGTTATGTAATTGTTATTTAACATTAAATAACTGCAGAACAGCTTTGAAAATTATTTTGAGGTGTTTGGGCCAATGTTGTCCAATAACTCGTCTTATTACACATTTATAGACCAAAAAGGATATCAACTGCACCAATATCACGGAACCAATATGTGATCCATCAATATTTTCAATATCGGTGCAAGGTCTGACACCAGTATTGATTCAACCAGATCAAAAATAGAATGAATCTGTTTTCAAATTTAAATTTGAATTCTGGAAAATTTGTTTATATAGTGTCATTAACTACCTTCTGTTTCCCATTTTAGATTGAAATATCACAGTCTGTAAACCACTTTTATTTTGAAGCTTTAAAATGACTGCATGGGATGCAGAATGTACACTTCAATACTCAAATTCTGTGAGCCTATAAAAATACTGAGAGATCATTCTGGATTGGACAGGCAATTAAAATGGTCAGAAGTTTAAAAAAAAGTCATATTTGTTTTTATTATGACAAAAACTAGAGGGAAAAAGATTATATTTGACTTACTGTGAACCCATAATTCTGTGTTGACCTGAAAAAGCCTTTGAAAAATCCTGGTCTTATTTTGGCCACTAGGGGGAGGCAGTATTCTCCAAGTGAGGTCTTGTGAGGTCACAGCTACACGATCTTTTGAATAGACGCTTCTTCAGAAATTCTAATTTTAAAGTAGGAAATATGAGCAATCCTTTTTACTTTTAAAGGTGAGCTGTGTAACATGTCCGGTGGAAGGTCCATCACCTGCTTGTCTCCATGGAGATAAGCATAGAATGTTCCACAGTATAGCCATAATCTTCATGGAGATGCTTGAGACTTGCAAGCCAAATTTCAGGTTAGGTTTGTGGAGAGGTGACCACACTCACAGTAAGAATGAATGTTTTTTAAGATTTTTGTGCAATAAACGACAGATGACAAGACAAATTATTTGAATGCCATACTGTGGACAATTTAAATCAAAGCATTAACATCTCCATGGATACAAACAGGTTGCGGAATCACTTCAGAAAAGGTACAAAGTGAACCTTTAAATAAATAAACAAGTAGCATAAAAATACAAAATGTAATATTATTCATACCCACAAGTATCCAGGAGTGGTTGGCAAAGATGAATTTCAGGCTATAATTTCAATCTTTACATTTACAATGACAAAAGCTTTATGACTTTTCAGCCTTTCTCAAACAAATAAATCCTTAAAATACCGCAAACTATAAAATGCTTCCTCAAACCAACAGGAGACTCCCATTTAAGTAAATCTCAAAGTCATGTGAGCCAATGTTCTATCCCTGACCATCCCAGTCTTTCTATTGTTAATCACTCACTAATTTTTTATTATTGATGACTGGAATGACTGGTATGAATGCTTCTCCTATCACTTTTGTAATAGTCTCTGATGTGATAAAAGAAAAGGTAGTCACAGTAACGCCCTATTGATGTAACTATTGGTGCGTTTTTTTCCTTCTTGATCAAGAGATGACGACTGGAGTGTTGTTATCGCTAAAGGGAGACTCATTCATATTGAATTGTGGACATAACCACAGCTCATGATAATAAAAAGAGAACAAGGGCGAGCTGTCATAAACGGGAGGGACAGCATAATCCAAGCAACAAAGTCCTGTTAAAAAATCAAACATGTTCTCCACAGTCAGGTAAAAACTGATACAGTATAAAGTTTAAATGAATGAGTTCTCAGTGTAACATAACATCTCCATGGAGACATAAAGGTAGCAGAGCATCCACCAGAAAAGTTACACAGTGCATCTTCAAAGCCGCAGTATGTAACCGAACTTTATAGACTAAAAGAAAAGCATGATTTGTGTTGTTTTTTAGTTGTGTTCCACTGAAAAAAGAGAAAAACACTGGTCCTCGTTAAGAGCAGGCTTGCATCTCCACAAACTCGACTCTTATTTGGCCTTAAGTAGAGTCTCTTCCTGCTTGTGTCCATGGAAATTCTGTTCTTTTGGCTATCCATGAGTTTCAGGATGATGAAAATTTAAGACCGTTGCCCCAACAAATAACATTTTAAAACAATATATTATATCTTTTGAATGATCAGCTGTCCTCAGACTTACTGGCATTATACAACAGGAAGCAGAAACCCATGAATAATCTTCCACAGTCCATAAAATCAGGTGGGTGTCACCTCCAGAAAGGTACATGCTGAGCAACTGAGTCATGTTTTGTTCACTTAGTTTGATTAATATTTTGCACATTTCAGTGTTTCTCAAGAATGTAATTTCATGGGTTTCAGATTCTCAGTACAGTGATGATGTCTTACTCCCATTTGGGGTCAAGACACAGTTTCTGTATTGATCACATGGTATTTTCACAGGAAATATCTATAATCCAACCCACAATTCTTCATAACTGGGCCTTTGAATTCACTATATCAGAGGTGAGGACTTGAGACTTGACTTGATGAAATGGACTAAGACTTGAGACACGACTTGGACTTGAAGGTCAGTGACTTGGGACTTGACTCTGACTTGAAAGGACTTGAGAAGCACTTTTAAATAATCTGTATTCTTTCTATTCTGACTGTAATGATTCACACTAAGATCTTGTCAAGAAGTTTAAAAAGGAAAATCTAACTAAATTAATTTCTACAACTCTTATATACTCTGTAAATACTCACATATAAGTGTGAAGAATCCCTCAGTCATTCAGGTAGAATCCATGAGGAGAAAATTCAGTTTGTCGACTGGACAAAAGTTAGTTAGGTTGAACGTTTCGCACTTCATCCAAGCTGCTTCTTCAGTTCAGAACTGAAGAAGCAGCTTGGATGAGTTGACTTTTGTCCAGTCGACAAACAGAATTTTCTCCTCATACTCACATAGTAAATATACTATGATTTTTTTTTTTTTAAGTACAAATTATCTTAAAATTAATATAAATTGCAAAAATCTAAGTTAGGTTTAAAGACTTGAAATTACTTGAAGCTCAAAGCAGACAACTTGGACTTGACTTGGACTTATGGGCCAATGATTGAGTCTCGATTTGGACTTGCCTCTATTTGACTTGGGACTTGACTAGGACTTGAGGTGAAAGGCTTGAGACTTACTTGAGACAAAACAACGACTGGGTCCCACCTCTATGCTATATTACAACAAGCTGGCTATTTATATTTGTGATTTCCTATCTCCAATAAATATACGGTTTACTTATGCTGAAATCCAGCAATATACTTGAGGTACAGCTAGAATACATAAAGAATTGATTAAAGGGCCCATATTTATGCCCCCATGTATGTGTCCTCATCACAAACATACATTTGGTTGTGTTTTGTTACATTCACACATGTTTAACACACAAATGCTTCATATTTAGGTTGAGCTCTGTTCTGTCAAACTGAAAACACTGTCGATGGCATGTTCTAATACAGGAAGTGCTTCAGTGTGTTTCTAAACTCTTTAAACACCTTCACTAGAATCATCTGGGTGATTTCAGCCCTGGAATTGCCAATCTCTACTGAACTAAAGGTAAAATGTTGTTGTTAAATTGAGGACTACCATTACATGACATCACAAGGTGGAACAAACAATTTTGAACCTTGTAGATGTAGACAGACTAATAATGCAGGATTACTCAAACTTGTGTGAATGAAAAACACAACTCCACGTATGTGTTTGATGAGGAACATATTAAAGCTCACAACAGTCTGAATGAATTTAGCGTAATATAGGACCTTTAAATGATTTTGGTACCATGTTTGATTCTTTTTACATGCTTTTTGACCTTCATACTAGTCCTTATTTTATCATTGTATCGGAAGTGTGATAATGTTCACCTTATAACATCAAACATCAAAGTGACTTCTGTATTTCCTATAATAAGTCCTTCTGAGTTCAGAGTATTAAAATAAGAAGCACAAGGCTGAGTCAACACTGGACTCCAGCAAAACAAACGGAGGTGGTTTTGAGAGATACAGTCAATATACATGTAGCCGGTATTTGCATAATGATAACAGGAGGTCAGAGCATGCATCTGAACACTGATGAAAATGTTTTATAGGCTCACAGCAAAAGTAATTATTCAAAGCAGACAAAAGGATTAAAATTTAACTATGAAGACATTGCAAAAGGCCCCATATTACACAAGTTTTTAGTTGTGTTATAATGCTGTTTCCTTGTGAAAAACATACCTGGAGTTGTGTTTTGTTTCATTCATCTTTGAGTATCCCTCCATTATTAGCCTGTCTACATCTGCAAAGCTCAAAATGCTCTGTTCCACCTCGTGATGTCATCATGAAGAGGTCATTTTGAAGTTAACGGCTACCTTTTAACTTTAATTCAGCAGAGATTGGCAATTCCAGGGCTGAAATTATCCAAATGATTCTAGTGAAGGTGCATGGTGTTTAAAAACGCAGTGGAGCACTTCCTGTATTACCACATGACATCACAAAGTGGAACAGAGTGTTTCCTGTTTGAGAAAAGCCTAAGTATGGAGGGTTTGTGTGTTAAACATGTGTGAATTAAACAAAACACAAATCCAGATATGACTTTGATGATAACATAAATCAGAAAATAGCGTAATGTGGCCTGTTAAAGGTGATAAGAAGAAGTAAAATAGGTAAAAAAAAAAAAAAAAGGTAAAAAAAAGAATACTAAACTTTATAAAAACAAATGACAAAAAAGATTACAATTCAATATGATGGCATTGCACAATTGTCAATTTTCTGATATTATATTATTGCACAATCTTACTCTGCTATAGGTCTATTTATAGCTCTATCAAAACTCTGTCATCTTGGTGACGCAGTTCAAGTCAGGTAACGGAAAAAACAGGGTCAAATTAAAACCATCGGCGTGCGTGACACTGAAATTTTTCCGATAACATATTTGTTTAATAATGTTTGCTTTTGGGGTTGAGATTTGATAAATTTCAAGTCACTGACAGATCCTCACCGTGAACAAAGAGTCAAAATATGAGAAGAATGATTGCACCAGATTGTCACTTATATAACTCTGCCTACTTAAATATATTCAGTTAGCTCACATGGAACTTTTTATAGTGAACTTCCATGTATGGTTTTTTGATTTACAAGAAATGTACTTCATAATACGGTAATTCCTGAAAGTTAAGCACTTCTCCTTTATCAGCAAAAACAAATATTCGTAAACTTGAGTACAGATACAGCCGGGGTAATAGAAGGGTTACGTACTGTTTTGGGTGGAGCAGGTTATTCACATTTTACATAGTAAAAAACATTTGAGAATATTAAGTCTTCCCGCTCTGTTTCGGGAAGTAAATTTTCCATAGATTTTTTTCCCTAGACTTTTTTGAAAAATTCAAACATTAACAGCGCAACAACTTTTCTGGTGGAGGGTCCGCCCTCATGTCTCCATGGAGATGTTATTGCTTTCCCTGGAATGTTCCATGGTATGACATTAAACATATCCATCAATAATGTATTCATGACAGGTGTTTATGTTGCTCAAAAATACATACATTTCATCTGTAAACAGGAGTGACTCTCCACAGACCTGAATTGTAATGTAGTGTAGTGTTGTAATCTAATTGTCTCCCTTGTGATAGATGGGATTAATCTACACTGTGGGACATTCCAGACAAAGCATTAACATTTCCATGGTATTTCCATGGAGATAAGCAGGGGACGGATAGCCTGCTTCATCAGCCGGTTTCACTTCATAGAAACTAACTGACCTCGCAGTGTTGAGATTCGTTCACTCAGTGATAGGCGGGTACTTTTTATCATTTAACCAATCTCTGCTATTTGGTTGTGACATATGTAATGCGCCGCTATCGGGGCTAACTGGTATATTAAGCTTTTCCCAAATCCCGCAGGAAGAAGGGCAATAATGTCTTTCCCCTTGATGAAATTCACCAAACATTCTCTTTATTCCGGCTTTAAATCCTCGATCTCGAATCGTTGACAACACAGAATATATGGCTCTTCGCTGATTGGCTGGTGCCCGAACTTTCACTTCCGGGGTTTTTGCGAACCGTCTAGTGTATTTTGATTCCTGTTCCTGACCTAGTCACTGGAGAGAAATGAAATTGAGCAGAGGCACTAGGTGGCGCCAGCCTGGCTAGGGGACGGACCCTTCACTAGAAATATTTCACAGTGCAACTTTAAGAGTTCAGAGATATTGCGGAGGCTAATCAGCCATGTGCTAGCTAATGTCCGTAACGCGGTTGTCCAAAAATTTAAATTGCAAGATTCTGCAAAATGTTTTAGTAACTTCACAGTTTATAAAGATTCAGAAACAGATTTTCAACAAATGTGTAGGTCTTGTGATCATTAGTTACCATATAGCTGATTAGCGCTGAACAAACTTTAAAACGTTTAATATAACTTATTTATTTATTTTCTGAAAGTCTGTGAGAAAAATGAATGAGAAATGTACTTCTGGAACTGGAGAGTAGGTGGTCATTTCTCTCCCCTTCTCTCTGTTCTTGTGTCCACATTGCATTTGTGTTTCTAAAAATTCCTCCTCAAGATTAGACTATTTGAATTTTAATCAAAAATATTTTACTGATTGTAAGGTGTACATATGTTTTATACGGTAGCCAATTTAGTAGATTTTTTTTTTTTTTTTTTTTCACATTTTGAGAAACTTTCATGAAAAAAACAAACATTAATCAGATTCAGATTCAGACCACGACAAGCTTATTACAGTTTTCACACTAAATTAACGTAACGTCCCGTGTATTTCATGTAAAAAGTTGCATTGTGGGCGGGACCAAATCATCTCATTAAACGTTACAGCAGCAGCGTGATTGACAGACGACTCGTCCAATCAGGAGAGGCGCAGCTTAAGCTTTTAATGCCGTTTAGACTTGAGTCATCCCCAGACTCAGCACCTGTAGCGGGCAGCGTGGAGGACGAACTGCGGGACCAGAGCACCGTTATCCAGGCAGCTCCAGCCTCAATCACCGCTCTCTGAAGTCATGCTTTTCACCTATCTGCCTGTCGTCTTTCTCCTGGGAACTGCGGCCAGAGGTTAGCGCACTTTACGACACTTTTATAAGATTTGCGTTTGTTAATTTAAACGGTATAATGCGTGGTTTACGGGGAGTTAAATGTTGCGAATTTTCCCAGATTGAACTATTCTTTAAAGTTGTTTGCACGAGGTTATGATGTGTGCTAACTTATGCCATGTTTATCTCATGCATTTTTTTGTTTTGAAAAAGAAAATATCTGAATTATACAATAGCATTTATTCTTTCTACCTCTCTCTGTCTTTCTGTTTCTATCTGATAATTTGTCTTAAATTGTATTTTAGTTTGTATTGTTATAGGCTACGTACCTATAGTTTATTAGCCCATATTGCTGAAAATATCCTAACTTAAGATAGTATTTATTCTATCTATCTATCTATCTATCCATATCTGATGATTTGTCTTAGCTGTTTTTAACTTTTCTTTGTATTCTTACGTACCTATAGTTTATTAGCCCATATTGTTGAAAATAACAGAATTCTGCAATAGAAGTATCTCTATGTGGTGTTATTATTATTATTATAATTTTTATCTGAGTTTACCTTTTATTAGAGGCTACTTAACTTAAGTTTATCACATCATTATAGCGTTCCCAATATTGTATGACCACTCTGAGTCATGATGAGCAAAGGAATCCAGGATTTGTTGGGATTTTGTTCTAATCTGATCTGATACGGGGGTCTGAGCGTTAGGGACTTCACCATAGGGGGGTTCCCTGTGTTTTGTGTCCCGCTCAGTAACACTGGTCATTGACTCAGTACTGACTCAGGGTTTTGTGATGGACAGTCCAGGCTGGAGGAAGTGGCCAGTTGGAACAGCTTTCAAACTGGATTGGAAACTTTGGTGTGTCTGTAAGGTTGTTAAACAGTTAATATCTGCATACTCGAAAAGTACGTGAAAGTATCAATACTGAAAATAATTACATAAATAGTAAAAAGTTGGACCTTTGCTGAATAGTTGTAAAATGATCTTGATCTGTTGATAATTTATAGTGACTTTACGCTGGGGGTGTTCTACATGTATCTCTATTGGTGAAATGTTCATCAGTTACTATGGCGTCACAATGCACACTTTAGCAAATAATGACAAAAAGGTTTTAAAATAATCTGAAAACTCAAGAAAAAATGCTCAAAAGTATCCATGGGTTTCTGCTTTCTTCTTAGAGATGGCATGAGTTCTTTTCACTATTCAAAAGAAATTATATCTGGTTTTGAATTGTTAATTGCTATGGCAACGGTGCAGTTTTTTTCATCATTCGGAAACCCATGTATACTGCCCTTGTGTCTTGTGGTACAGACAATTAGAGTTTAAATCCATTGGACGCCCTTGTGGTTTAAGGGACTAGTTTATAGTTTCTCTCATTGACGATGCTTTACAGTCTGTATCATGTGCTGCAGCCTCAGTGTTTGGCCCAAGGGCACGAGGTTATGTTGTCTGGAGCCTAAGAAGACACCGTTTATCATAGGCTACACAGTAATATCTTGTGTCTCCCTGTTGCAATCTATGGTTTATGAAGATTGTGATAATCTAATGATAAGATAAAGTCATGGACAGAGAAAGCCAGTGGAGCGTGGTTGTCAAACACACACCAGTCTGTAGGAAAGATGAGCATCAAACAAGAAAAAGAAGAGTTTGCAATGACCAAAACTTGAATAGAATGCAATTAAAGGAGACGTTTTACACAATCAGCTTTAATGAGCTTGTTATAACAGTGTTCCCTCATTATTAGCTTACTTACTACTTAATATTTTGATTGATTCATGCTTGTTTGAGTAATCATCTATTGTTCTTCATTCAAAGGTGAGTGCTCAGTAAATTCCTGCTTTCACCTCCCCCTCTCTCCCACTGTAGTTTTTAGTTACCGTTGTTTCAAAAGTTGAAAAAATAAAAAGCTTAAGTGCATGTAGAAGTTCAAAATGTCACACATATATTTTCAACAATAGAACATACATTAAAATCCTCTGCTGGCTTTAATGAAATGCCAAATATGAAGAAGTGGGGCATGTCAGTTCTGCAGGAAGTAAGTGGACATATTCCTATTATTGACTTGTTACTGGTCAATATTGCATTTGACAATCAACAAAATGTCAAACAATGATTTACTTATGTTACACTTAAATACTAACTATCTGAAAAAGGCGAAATATGTCCTAGCTGTCTGTTTCTTCTGAAAGTTTACACCTCACTGTGATTGGCTAAATCCACCTGTCACTCTCCTGATGGTTTGACCAATAGGAGGAGTGGGTGGGGAAAAGTTGAAGAGCTCTATGTATCAAATTGAAAGATTAAGGGCTCTCATGATAATTCATTTTGGCTTTTTTGAAACCTGTAAAAAGTTATTTACAAGAACCATTGACATATCCTCCCACTGGACTCTGCTGTTTTCTAACACAGGAAGTCAGCAGCATTTGTTTTTTTTATTAACTTGTTTTAGAAGAATATTGCAGTTAAAATATGCAACTTATAACATAGTGATCCAGGGATGTCATAGATTATAACTATATAGTAAGCCACTTCTTTAACAGGTACTCAGCTTTGACCATTTTAAAGCAGGGACTACGAAACGTCCATTCATTACATAAGACAATTTCACTTACTGTCGCTGTACTTACTCCCTGTGTTTAATGTAGTACACTTTTACATTCTCCAGTGAATAAACAGGAGGAGTAATGGCCATAGCTCGTGGGTGACATAGTTTGACAGTGAGTGTTCTGAAGTAGCTGTAGCCGGCCGCATACAGCTGCTCTGGCTCTCCTCTCACCCAAACGCCCCTCTCTCTGCTCTCTGCCCCCTTTTGGACCCTCTCAGCGGGACAAACAGTCTGGAGACAGGCCCCTCTTCTCCACATGCGCTCCATCATGTCTTCTCCATGTGTTTTGCGGTCTGCCTGGTCACTTCTGCGTCATTACAAGAGCATGCAGGCAGGAGCTGAGGCATTAGAGTGGAATGGTACAAGTGTTGGATTATTTGATTTATTGCTCACTCAAAGACTTTACAGTACATTTTGAGTAGTCATTTGTTTCTTTTGTTACTTTTCTCTTTCAACCATAGACTGTTTATATAAATGGACAAAGCCAACCCGCTTGCCTCTGCATTTCAAATAGGAAGTGTTCATGGGGGCACTTCTGACTCCATTGACTCCAATATTCTAATTGAATTTACATTGGAATTTAATTTAAATTAGTTCTAAAATGTTCCTATCAACCTGCTCTACATTATTCTGATGTTTTTATTTTGCTATTTTGTATGTCAATAAATTCCTATTTCTAATATGGATATGGCTCCAAATTCACTCCTATAAACGCAGGCCTCGGTGAGCTTCATTTGACTGAAGCTGACCGGTATGGGTGATGCCTCACTCTCATAGTCCACTTCTTTATACAGTATGCTTTCAACCTATCCATTTTTGAATATGAGAATGTTATTATATGTTATTCCTACATGGATTTAAATGATGTTTTTATGCCATTTTTACTGCAAGCAACCATAAATATTTCACTTTAGCAACACCTAAAATGGTAATGTAAGGTCAAGGTAAATACATCTCAATAACAAAAGTCATCTGCCTAAAAGAGATAAAATATTACATATATTTTGTCTGTAAAAAGCTGATATTGGTGAAGCCAGTGACACAATAACAGTGTATTCAGGCACCATTGTGGTTTGTGGGCACATGCTGTGTGTAAACCACTGTGTCATTCCCAATTAAACAAGTAATATTACTCACAATACTCACACTTCTTCACACATATTTCGACATGGAAAACATACTAGCAACCCAAAAGTCAGCAGGTGAGATCCTAGGTCAAACAAGTGTAAGTCAGTGTGTTCTTTGGTAGTGGTCATATGCAAACTCACTTTCACAACTCCTTTTTTTTTTTTTTTTTTTTTTTAAACCACAAACCTGTATGGCGCTGTGTTGACATATTTTGTGCATTTATCTTTTCACACTGAAGTCTTCAAATATAGTTTCATGCATACTTTTTAGGCAGCAGGTCAGCCAAAACTTGCTTGAGATCTGTGGCCGATACCCAATATCTTTAAAAGTGCCAATATCTACCTGATGTATTGTTCTGTCTCTAATTCTTTATTTGTGCTTGTGTTGCAGTATCTTCTTTGTTGCTGGCTCATAGCTGTAGCCCTGTAGCCGGTTGGATTAGCCTGTTTGGAGGCTGCAAATCTGGCTCAGTAATTGGAAAGCATGTGCTGTGGAGCTTTAATTGGATATGATATGTGCAGAGGCCCAGTGAGCACTCAAACTGTAGGGAGCCATCTGTCCCTCCCTCTTACTACTGTACAAGCTTATACTCAAGACCTGAAGTGGACTGTTAACCCCGGACTTACTGATCAAAACATGTAATCAAATTTGAGATAAAGCTGGGAATTGCATTAACTTTGACGTGTTTGGAAGTTTTAGGTTAAGATTTCGTGCAAAGTTGATTCTGAAAAGTTCAGTATGGTCACGCTTCAGGTTTGCCTCGTCAGCAGTGGGGAGAGAGAGAGTGAATGTGAACTTTGAAGAGGGGAGTTTCAAGGACAAAGATACTGGAGTTGGAGCATTTCTTTCCCACTGTAACACTATATAGTTTTTCGGTTTGACTGTGAATTGTGCTAGTTTGTATCAGTGACAGTCAGTTGTAATCACTATATTTTCTGATATGTGTATTGACAAACTCTTAGCAGTCCATAGTTTTTCAGTTCTGCATATAAAAACAGTAAATATCTCTATTTGAACTCCTTGAGGATTCAGATGTCTTTTCTGCCAGTGTATAAAAACTTGTAATGTAATTTAGTTTAGTTAAGTCTCTATTTGAAGGGACAATGTACAATGTATGTAAAAAACAGAGATGTTCTGCAACAGATTATAAATAGCTAGTTTCCCTCTGCAGAAGGCTTGATCTGCAACAAATAAATAACAGAATGCACTATGATTGATCAATAATTTACCATAGAAGTCACTTATTCATTGCCTGGCTGTATTTTTTTAAAAACAGGTTGTTA